AATAATAAACTTGCACCTTGATAGGATAGCTTTATTAGTGTATATTATATGTAAATTTCAAACCAGAGAATACATGTCGTTCACTGTACGTATCTGGTTACTTAGGTGGCAGTGCTGTGCACTGCTATTTAGGAGCTCCAGGTTCTCTAGTCTTGGATTTCCAACTCTAAAGGTTGCTGGAGGCCAAGCACATCATCCTTGGGGCCAGTCAAAAATAGGAGGGATGGAGTGATAGCCACCCACTACAAATGTGGTTAAGACTATGGATCAGGACTGAGGTTGGCTTTGGAGAAGGTTGCTTGCCCACACTCCTGGCCAGTGGATAAGTGCCTCCTTCATAGTCATGTAAAGTAGAAGGGAAGTTATTGAGTTTCTGGTGGTCCACGTGGGTGGAGAATACTCAAAATCCTATTTGAACCAGTCTTTAATAGGGACCTGGTGTGGTAAGAAGGAACCCATGATTTAATGTAACACAGAAAGGACCACAACAAAACAGTGTGTATATACCTATCTATTTCCTAACGTCTCTGTATTGAATGGGTTTGATAATTTGTAAAAAAACCAACTGATTGCTCATGTTGTGTTACTGCTTTGAATTTCTTTGCATGAACTCTGGCATATAATTCTTTAAGGGAAAAAAAATATATATATATATATATAATAGCCTGCAAAATATTCTTGTTGGACAGCCATGTGTTGTGCAAATTGTATATTATTGTTGTGAGCAATATTGGAATATGAACTTTTATTAGTTGTTGGCATTAAAATGTTTTTATTGATAGTAAATTTGTCATATTATTTTTGGGTGTATGTAGCATGGGCTTTCATATTCAGGTGTGAGCACAACTACCGAAAGGGCCATTTTCAGTGCAGTGAAAATATCACCAACTTTCACTAAACAAGCAGGCATGCAAATCACATTCATTTTAATGCAAGTTACAAACTTATTTATTCATGCCAATTGACAGGCCTATACTTTTTTAGGCTCGCTATAGCAATGCTTGACTTCATCTTTGAAAAGATCACGCTGTTAGCCCCTTTTTTAAAAATGGAACTAATGCCCCAATCCAGAAAAGCATGTGCTTAACTTAAAACACATGAGTAGGCCCCTTAACCTCAGTGAGACCACTCACATGCTTAAAGTTAAGCATCTGCTTAAATGCTTTGCTGGATCAGGCGCTAAAAAAATGCAATTTTCTCTTGCCTTTGGATAGTAAATGCTTTATTTTCAGCTTTTCATGCAGCACATTTTTCAGTTTAGGGACCTGTTTAAAGTGAAATAATATTAATATGGCTTTATGAGAGCTACAGCAACTATCTAGTCATTTGGCATTTGACGTTTATAACTTTTGGGTGGCTTGTAAACACCATAAATAGCTGTTTGCTCTATGTTTACTTCTGGGAAATGTGTTCTGTTGATTTAAAATGTTTAAAGTTAATACATTGACTGCCTTTTTTGTACATTTGTTATTTCAAAGGTTTGATTTAAATTATAACAATTGTAGTATATTTTCAGACTTTAAATAATAGCTGACAGTTCTGTATTTGAGAGGCAAAGTTATTAATAAATATAGCAGATTCATATTCTAATCCTATTTTATACCGCTCCCTCCAAAGGTTTATCAGATTGCAATGAATACTCCTGAACAGCAGGTGGAGCTCTTTTGAGTGTGTTTATGAACCATCCCTGTTCAATAAAAATTTCAGTTTTTCTAGCTTAGGAAATGGTGCTGTGAGTGTTTTTTGTTTTTCCTTCTCCAGTTCAGATATTTCTCTGTATCATTCAAACACCAATAATGTTGAGATTCTCCCAGTAACAGGATCCCAGGAATCTTATGATTCTATGGATTTTACAGCTGGAAATTCTGACGGTTTCTAGTTCAGCACTTACAATATGATTGTCATTGTACAGAACGTGGAAAAGACATGGTCCCTGCTCCAAGAAGCATTCAGTCTACAGCCCTGATCCTGCACATTCAATTTGACTTCAGTGAGACTACTTGTGCTTAAAACTCAGCATGTGCATAATAAGTCTTTGTAGGATCTGGGCATAACTAGACAATTTGGATACATAAAGACCTGGGTGATCAGTAGTTGGAGTTATCATATAATGCTGCAGCAAGGGTATAAACTAGGTGGCAGTTAAATACTAATAGGTGTCACAAAAGAAGTATGCTTTGGGAAGAGATATTAAAAAGGATGAGAGCATCACCATGGAAATCAAAACAGGGGTTAAAAAAACCTTTGAGTTCAGGTTTTTTTAATCAGCACATTGATTTTATTATTGATTTTATACTAATTTTAACTGTTTCAAATCTTGTATGATTTGGGAGATTTAGAGTCAAATACCGCCCTTATATTCTTGCTTAAAACTCCCTTGATTTCAACAATAGCCATATGGATATGTGATGGCAGGACTGTTCCCTTCATCTGCATTTTGTTTATTGTAGAGCCGAGTGGAGGAAAAAAGGTGGTAGGACTTTTTCATGCTCTGCCCGCAAAATAAGATCTGCATGTGTGAATCATCCCAATGAGATGCTGCTCACAGTAGACTGTGCAGATATTTAAAATATGATCATGTGTGCTGTTAGGCTCCAGGGGGCTCCTTGAGCTAATTTCCCCCTTAGAGGTGCTTGAATGTGCCTATGGGCTCTGCTAAGCACCTTGGAATTGGCTCCTTTGTGACTGAGAGATACCACCATGTTTCCCCCACACACACACACACCTCCTACCGTCTGGCGCCACAGTGAGACATCAAATTGTTCATCTCTTTGACCCTTCCGTCAACATAAAGCATCTTCATTAAAGCTGTACAGCGGCACGCCAATGCAGCATTTTAAGTGTAGACTTGCCCCTAGTGTAGTCACTCTTATAAGTGCTCTTTTCCAGTTTAGTTTATGGAGAAAGGGTTTAGGCTAAACTGCAAAAAGCCATATACCAGAATAAGGGCAAGTCTACACTACAAAATTAAATTGACCTAAGTTGCATCAACTTACAGCCATTGCAGTAATTAAACTACTTTTGCATGTCCACGCTACCGATTTAATTGTCAGTGGGGAGCATTGTGGGACGGCTTCTGAAAGGCAGCAACAGTCAATATAAGTAACACAGTGTTTACACTGGCACTGCATTGACCTAACTGCATCGACTTAAGCGCTACACCTCTCGCAGAAGTTATGAAGTTGGCGTAGTGGGTGAGTTACATCAGTAGGAGCTTCATTTTAGCATAGACACTTACAGAGTTAGGCTGATGTCAGCTGCCTTATATTGACCTAACTATGTAGTATAGACCAGGGCTAACAGTGTCCACTTAAGGACTTATGCTGGTATAATTATACTGGTATTACAGTACTGGTAAAACTTTCCCACGTAGACAAGGCTTACTTTATTTTTTAATGAAAGCTAAGATTCTGGAGAACAAGATAGTAACTTCCGAGAAGTGCCGGTGTGGTGTATGAGTATGTACTGTATTGGCTGTGTCCGAGGCCTACTGTAAAGTGCCGGGGGTACTGCATAAATGATAATGTTCTATGCATCAAAGAACTGGAGTCTATTCCTGAAATACTGAACATTTAAAGGAACTAGTATTGAACAATACATGAAAGTGATGGAGATAACTGCTATTGAGCAAACCCTGACCCTATCAGTTTCCATGGTGAAACGCAGCCAGAGTTGAGGCCCTACAATTGCTTTGATGAGTAGAGGACGCCCCTCAGGCAGTTGTGCAGCCCTCAGATAACCACCCAACCCACCATTCTTCTTCCTGGCTCAGTCCCACATCTCACTACCCTCTCCCCATCATGTGGGGCTTAAATGATGTCCTGGAGGCTCTGTGTTTACATAGAGCTTTCCTGTGTCCCAGCAGGGGAGCATCATGTGACCAAGTGGTATAGGGGAGAAATACTTTTTGCAGTAGGGAGGGAGGGAGGAGGTTCAGTAAAGTGACTAGTAATATAAAGTACAACAGAACACCAGGATGGAAATTACTTACATTGCAATTACCCCAGAGGCCCCAGTTAGGCTTGGGGCCTCATTGTGCTAGCACTTTACAAATACAAAACAAGACACAACAAATGGATGCAGCAAACAAGGCATGGGAGATGCCAGAAGCTCATTACAAATACTGTATTTTGATAGATATTACTGTACTTCCTTCTCACTCCAGCACCACGGAAGGCTCACAATAAAAAATGGAAAATGCCCCACAGCACTGTCTGCTTGACATATGGCTAAAGTACTGTAGTCATGCTGTCTGCCAAGTTTAAATTTTGCTGTCCAACACTTGTTTTATTATGTGAACTATTCCTTTACCTTAACCTCATTTAAACATTTTCCGATACTTGTAGTTCCCAGTTAACCTCTGAAACAAAAGTTTAAGTGATGCCGCCGTCCACACGGAAACCCCCCGACTAGGGTGACCAGATGTCCCGATTTTATAGGGACTGTCCTGATATTTGGGTTTTTTTCTTATATAGGTGCCTATTACCCCCCACCACCGTCCCGATTTTTCACACTTGCTGTCTGGTCACCCTACCCCCGACCCCCAGCAGTAAAGAGAACTAATACAGCTCCCGGCCTCTACTCCCACAGTCCCGCTCCACCCCCGCCCCGTCCCCCAGCCCATCTCCCTGGCTCCTCCCCCATCCCACCCCTGGCACTTCCCCCCGCCCCGTCCCTAGCCCATCTCCCTGGCTCCTCCCCCATCCCACCCCTGTCACTTCCCATCCCCTTAGTCCCGCCCCCACCCCTGGTCCCTGGCACACCCCTTGGCCCCTCCTACTTACTCCCAGCCCCTTCCCTTCCCCCTGGCCCCGCCCAAATCTCTCCCTGCCAGTGGTTGAGTTCGCTCCTCCTTCCATTGGGGCGGGGTCTCTGCCTCCGACGCGTCACTGGCTTCCAGGCCCCCCCCCGACGCTTGGTGATGACCTCACGCAGGCCTTCTCGCCCTCTCCCTGCCGAGGAGTTGTCAGTATGAGGTTACGTCATCAGGAACGCGACAGTTTGTGGGGCGACGGTAGTAGGAGCGTGGCGCGTGTCAGAGTTGTCCGCACGTGCCGCGGCCGGAGCCATGAGCTGCCCCGTGACTTGCGCCGCCTGGGTGCGCAGGGGGGTCGCCAGGGGAACGCCCGACAAGGTGAGAACCCCCGAGCCGGGAACGCGCCTCTTCCCTAGCGCCCCCCCCCGCCCCGCGCGGGCCGGCGGCCGCCTCGGTGCTGGGCCACAGTCCGTCGCCGCGATGCGTCGGGCTGTGCGGGCCCGTCCGGGGCTGAGGGGGGCCGGGCCCTGCGCTCCCCGGCCGCTCGATCTCAGCGCGTTTCCCCTTCTAGGTGCGGCTCAGCGCGGAGGAGCTGAAGCGGTTCATCGGGGAGGCCGCGGAGACGCTGCGGTGAGTGTCCGCCTCCGAACACGCAAATCCCTCCGTGTGCCCCGGGGCAGGGCCTGCCCTACCAGGCAGTGGCGGATCAGGGTGCCCGGGGTACGTTTCGCTGCGCAGCAGCACGGGCCCAGCCCCGCCAGACATACATGGGTGAGATCTGGGTGTCAATCCCCCAGTTTAACTGTGTAGTGTAGGCATGGCCATGAACAGGCTGTGTGTTGTGTGAGTCATGAGACTGGGAAATGAGGAGGTTACTCATCTGTACTTGCCCACTGGTAAGGAGTGTTGTCAGCTCTCGCAATTACACAAGTCTCTCAACTTTCATGTTAAAAAAGAGTGAGTTTCTAGCCCTGCTGATTGTGGAGCAAAGCTTGAAAATGTGACCCCCTAAAGGCTCAAAAAACAGAAGACAAATACAAGGAATCTCATACTTTTTTTAATGACATGATTTTTAAACCCATCTTGTAATGGAATTGCCAATACTGCAGACCTGAAAAACAGTTGATGTTAAATAAAGAATACCTATATACATTCACTGAGAAATAGCACAAGACTCATTTTACCTAGGTGGAAGGTAACAGTGTTTATTTGCTAGAAATGATCTTCTGGTCCCCAATCCCACTGGGGCTCTGCATTGGTCGGCCAGGACAGATCTGATTGCAGTGTCAGGGCCTGAGTACCCTGAATTCCATGTGCATTCTGGTGAATATTGTCAGCTCCCCTCCACCTGATCTCAGCTTTCATTTTTTAAAAGTCTACCCTTTTCTTTACAAAGAGAGCTTTCAAAATATTAAGCAATTACCATACCAAAATATTAAGTAAGTTCTAATGGCTGTCCCTAAAAATCGCAAATGTTATTTCTGAATTTCTGTTTTTTTTAGAAGCTTAACCTTTAACTATTTTTTTTTCTCATTGACTTTATAATTCTACTGCTGTTACCAGTAGCTTTGCACAGATAACTGTAAACTGCATGCAACCTTTTCTTATGGATTCTCTCCCCCATCCCCATTTCAAAAGTATTCAATGCAAGGTTTGAGGAGCCTTTTGTTGGTAATTATGCATTTTGTTAAAATTCAGTGTGGAAGCTTAGAGAATCACATCTAACAACTACAAATGTTACGACTTCTTCATAACATCTTGTACTTTGTAGCATTCATTAGTACTCCGGTCATTTTATTTCTGTACAAAGATCACAAGTCAGATTTAAATTTAGAATATTTAATGATCCTGCTACCAATTTTTACTCTTCTTATGGGTGAAATGTCATATGAAGGGCAAGTGTTGTTTTATAAAATAAGTGACAAAAATAGCTCTTCAGCAAGCTCTTTCAAAACTGAAAGACCTTTGCATTAGATATAGTTCTCTTATAGACCCAAGATTGTGTTCCACCCGTGATCTTTGTGCATTGATGTCAGTGGGAGTTTTGAATGCAGGCGTAGTAAATATGCCCACTTGGGAGCAGTCTCTTGTGGAGTTCTCTCCAGTGTTAGCAGTTGGGTGTCCTCCTGCAAAGTGATGTAATAAAAGTAACAATTCTTGAATTTTTATATTGCTCAACCTGCTGCTGTTCAGACCTCTGCATTTTATATGTTGGCAGAATCTGAATCATTGCCTTAGGGAAGGAAGCTTTGTGAAAGTTTAGGGTATCAGGGATAGGGTTTTTTTCCTGTAGCGAATGTGGTGTGATGCAGGTAAATCTGCTACAGATACTTAACTAATGAAGCGCATGCTTCTTTTGGAAGGAATCAAAAAGAATTGTTGGAGCCACTGGAGTCTTTCAAAGAGTGGGTGGGGGTGGTCACTTTAGGTAGGAAGACATTTTTAGCAGCTGCATTTTGGGTGGATGAATGAGGGGATGTGATTTTGGTGTTGGGGATACTGGAGAGATTACTGTAAAGAAAACGGGCGATAATGAAGGCATAAATGAGAATTTCAGCTTATGGTATATAGAGGGAAGATCAGATCTTCAAATGTGGTGGAAGAAAGAGCAAGATTTGGATATAGTCTAGGGTTGTGTGGAGAAGAAAGAGGAGGAATCAAAGATCAAACATACCTATGTGTAAGAGGGAGGATGATAGTGGTGTCATAGTAATGGAAAGGGTAAATGAAGAGGGGTTGGGACACTCAGTTTTAGCCATTTAAAATTGTCGTATTCTGCCAGGAAGGCATACTAGAGAAAATGTCATTGGTAGGCTGAAATGCAGGTCTGGCTAGGAAGAGACAGGAAAGGAGTGGAAAAATAGATTTGAGAGTCATTGGCATAGAAACAATAGTTGAAATCATGTGAGCAGGTACGTTAATATTCCAATACCTCATTACCAGTCCCCTGAGCAATTTAGTGAAAATGTCCCAAACTCTTAACTGACTCACATTGATAATTCAGTGAGTGTTTTTTCCTTATACAGAGAAGAAGTAGATGGTAGTGATGAAGAAGAACATGGACAGGCTGCAGAAGACATCATGGATGTTGCTAGTGGTGAGACAGTTGAGCCTCCTCAAGAAGATGGGGACCAGGAAGAAGACACTGAAAAGCTGAATGATGATGAGCTGGCAGAGTATGGTTTGGATAAATATGATGAAGAGGAGAATACAGGTAATGTCAGTCTATTTCTCCTGTCAAAAGTGCAGCGTAAATGAAGAACCACGTATTTCTCTTTTAGGTTAGGTTAATGCACTTATCGTGAAACTGTGTTATAACTTTACAGGTTTCCTCAACAAGTGCTTTTAAATTCAAGGTTTGAAAGGCCCATTAGCCCAGATTCAAGTACAAGTTTGGAGTAAGCTGAGTGGGGCTAAGGAATGGAGTAGCTGGAGCTATTGGCCCTTTCCATGAGGGAAGGGAACAAGGCAGAGAGCTGTGTTGGTAAGACTGTAGCTCTCTTAAGATATGTCTACACAGCCCATGGCAGCAAGCCTCCCAATCTGGGTCAACAGA